GATGACATTTTTGGTGTATAAAGGTCATCGTCATCTCGTCTCATATACTGCTACCCCAAGACTATTGTGGGTCCTTATTTTGATGTGTGGTAGTTTTCAGTTCTGTAGCTATCAAAATTTTAGATCCCTTTTGCAAGATTTGTTTTGTTCTCGAAACAGAAGTACCATATTTTTTAGGAAACGGACCCCCCGGCACTGTTTTTTGCCCCTTTCTTACGTTACTTGAAAAAAAAAAATTGAGAATCCAAAAAAGTGTTATGACGTGGCTGTGTTTACTTTTTTTTTTGAATTTATTATGCATTTTTTTTTTAAGTTATTACAATTTGCATACTTTAAAAATGTCACTGAAAGAGCACTCATTATAGTGGTTCTGCATATGTGCTTGTTTAGGATATGCATTTATACTCGAATCGAGAATGCTTCGCACGAAATTTTCCCGCCGTTCCGGTTGCTCCTTGTATTCCCCGGAATGATTCATTCGATGATCAGTCACCGTTGGCACATCCACAGCTTGGTAATGGTTCTCAATGTTTATGTAGAATGCACGGTTAATAAAAATGAAAAATATATATTTTACTGATGCATAGCTTTATGTTGCTTTTAATTTTCTATACTTTAGGCCCTCATTTTCTTCTGGATTTTTTCTTAGGATATTATTTTCGCTTTTAAATTTTGCTTTTATATTGACCTGAAAATTTTCCTTTCGTAATTTGCAAAAACTTGAAATTATTTTAGTATCTTAATATGTTTTAGCAAAAAATCCACAGTGAGGTTCACAGTAGTCTATGCGTTTATTCTGTACAGCCATGGATGCCTACGTGAACAAGTTGATGCAATTTTACGACAGAAAAAGGCATACAAAATGGCCTTAAAGTGGACTTTTAGACTACTGTGAGCGCCATGTTGTTATTCATCTTAAAAAACCCGATAAAAAGCACTGCAGTATCTAACTTTTACATAAAATATGCATGAACTGCTTAATCTTGTTTGCTTATGGTCAATTTTTGTGATTTTGAAAAATTTCTAATTTTGAAAAATTTTCATGGTTTTTAATACACTTTTTACGATTTAATAATAATATTTTAATAAGGTTTTCATGGTTTTTAACAGAAATATTAATGTACTTTTTCCGAGGTACGGGGAATGTACTTAGTTTGCGGGGATGCACTGCTATATTGCACATTGCGTTGACACTTGTTTGTTTGTCTCACGGATCTGTTATTCATTTTTGTCCCAATAACATCACTAATATGGGATGCTTAGAGTGGCATTTGTCTTAATTTGTTGTTTTGATTTTTCATTTCTTATTTAATTCTATAAAAAAACTAGGAATTTTATGTTTGGCCATCATTTATTTGA